GGGTTGGGGCGCTGATCCCGGGCGGTGGAAAATCCATGTATGACTTTTGAACCCCCGGAAACTTTATAGTCATCCCTTGGTATCTTTGGGAATTGGATTTAGGATTATCTCCCCCACACCCCCAGCAGATAGCAGAAGTGCACAGATGCTTAAGTTCCATAGAGTTGGCCTGGAGAGTTGCCGCAGACCAGCACACCAGTGAACGATGAGGCCTTCTCAGGGTTGAGAGAAGCGCAAAGGGTGGTCAGGGCGTAGGCGAAAGAAATGACAGACAGACACACTTCAAGAGAATGTGAATCTGAGTGTGTTTTTAATTAAGTTAGTGGCCAGTATATATATGTTTTTTCTAAAGGCATAGGATCGGTGACCATCAAAGAAATCAGTTTGCTCATAGGTTTAGCTTATCATTGACAGGGCAGTGATTTATATCCAAAATACATCTGGACCTAGCCACATTCCTAAGTAGACAGGCTATTAACTCTTTCTTTTGTTCTGTATAATTATATTCTTGTTGTACTAACTACTATTACTACTACCTACTCATGTTTACTCATAATTAATTGTCATGGGTAAATTTATATTATAATGCAGTTAATATCAAAGGTACTAAAGTCAAGCACATAACAGAAAGATTATTAAACCAACAATTCTATTATAACACAGTGTTTAGTAATGTTTCATTTGCATTAGCCTAATTATTAAATTACGTATGTTTTTTAATTAGCAATCAATGACCAGAAAAAGGAAAGATTTTAGAAAGACAGTTGTAGTGCAACAGGGTGGTCCCCAGGAAAGGGGGAGGTTCCCTGCCCCACCCAAGGGAGGGTGGAGCTGAGCAGAAAGAGGAGAAGCTGAAGAAGAGACTAAGGAAGGAAGCAGGATGGAGCAAGGAGACCTGGAGGAGGCACATGGAGCCTAGAGACACGTGAAGAAACTGCGCTTGTCTTTTGGTCGTGGACTAGGTGACACAGATGTGGGTGAGACCCGTGGGGAGGTGACAATGGCAGCTTTTATCTTGATGTTGATTTTGCTCTTTTCTTTCCGGGCTTGTCTGGTTGTTTGTGACCCTTTTCTGTGGGTCCCCACTGGAAGATGTTTTAGACTTGTGGCAGGCTTTGGGGCCTTGCTCTGGGCCGACCCCATATGGATGGAGTTTTACCCACGAGGGGATGGGTAACTTTGGGTGCTTCATTTAGAAACTAGACTCTTCGTCTCACCTGTATTGTTTCCTAGTTTTTATTAAAGATCCTTCCCATTAAAGTGTCATATGTTTTGTGTTGATGCGGCGGATGGCAGAACCCATTTAGAATAGGCAGGTTTGCGGGGTTTGGGCTGCCCCTCTCCCTGTCCTATAACAGTAGCAGAATAAAGTTTGTGGGCCTTGAGAAAGCGAGATAAGGTTCCAGCATTTCTTTTAATCATCTTTGTGGCGTCTTCTGGTGGTCGTTATCTCTTGGCAGGCATTTGGCTTCTCTGCATCTTAGGGAGTTTGCTGTTCTCCCCCTGCGCGCATGGTACCTTGCCCACGCCGGACCTCAGGGACCATGGCAACAGCCATTAGCCCTGAAGGTCACTGCAGGGGGAGGTGCAGCAGAGAGTCCTCAACACAGAGTCAACCTGCTGACATCTGTTCACCAGACCAAGTTCAGCACTGCGAGCCAAAACACCACCAGGCCCTGATGTCGTGTTGCTGGGCTCTGCCGCTTGCGGTTCCTGCCCTCTGGGTTTACTCAGAGTTCACTCAGAGTTTACTCAGAGTTCCAGCAGGGAATCAGCTCGTCCCTGGCTTTACTCTGGTGACTGGGTAGCGCCAGAGACCTGCACTTGCTGACCTGTGCTTTTCCCCAGTGGTTCGCTGAGAAAAAGGTGGGAGGGGGCACCTCAACACAGGAGCTGTCATTCAAGCCAGGTGCTGTGTCTGCCGCGCGTTCACCCGGCGTTGTGCCAGAGCTGTATGGATCCCACCCGCAAATGCTGCGCTTTAGGTCTCAGTTCTAGGGCTGTCAGGTCCAAAACACTGGCTGTCACCCTTTGCAGTGCCCGCTGCTAGGGCGTGACCCACACCCAGGATCCTGTGCCTGGTTCTCTGTCCCAGGATGGGGTCTTGCTCCCCGCCTGGTTTCCCTTCTTACCCCCGTTGGCCACACTGTGCTACTTTTCCAGTGTCCAAACCTTGGACAGTTTATCTGCATTTATTGAAGTGATTCTTTATTCAGTTTCCACACACAGCTCTCTCCTAGATGTTCTCCTGCTCTTTTTTTCATGTTTGTTAATGTTGGATTTAACCAGTATGCAGTCCCTGATACTGCAGGGAGTTACTCTGCGGTAGTCACATTTTCTGTGTTCTCTCTATTAGTTTATTCTCACCGACTGTTTTCTTTAAGGTACTTCTTCAGGCATTTGTTTATTCACTCAGTATGTTCATGGAAAGTTTTTGACAGTGGTAGATTTTCTATGGTTGATGGTAAGAGCAGTAATCACGGAAGTGGCCTTTGCTTTGTTGAAGTGATATTCTGTGAGAAAGGAAAATGTGGGCCTTCCTGGTGGTGCAAGGGGTTAAAAGTACAGCACTGTGAAGCTATCTGTGGCCTCTGCAGCTCGAGTTCGATCCCCATCCAGCCAGGGAGCTAGCCACATGGTGTGGCAGACGTCTCCTGTCTGGTCTGCTGCTCCCCTCAGCAGTGTATTTTAGTCATCCTGCGTGTTCTACTCCCCACTGTGACTCTGGCAAATCCTCTCACCCCCTACACTTCTGGCCTACCCCTCTGCTCTTGTATGCATAAATGAATGAAATCAATCTTTAAAAAAAATAAATAAGAGTTCAAGACGATGTTGTGGGGAGCTGTATAGTTATTTTCTATGTCCTTTTTTATCAACCATACTTGAGATATTGTGAAGAGACCTGATGAATATAACTCAGCCCTAAATCACTTCACTCTGTGGCTTTCTCCTGGTATGTACGTGGAGTCATGTATTTGACTTTCGTGAGTCAAACATCTAAGGGACCCTCCTCCAATTGATGAGTTTCTTTACATCTTAATTGCTTTGGTACATTTACGATGGTGTCATGTATCATGGATGAAGAAAATCTAAATGGATATGCTGTTTGTGGCTGACTGAAAAGATTGATTTCAGTCACCCAGAGGAGCCGTGGACTTCATTGTGGGCATAAAAGTTAGGCAGAGAAACATGCTGAAGTTCAACTCATTTCATCATTTTCTCCTTCAGGGAATACAGTAACAGTTTATTAATATCCTCATGTTTCTTCATGGTAGTTATGGAGCTATGAATATTACTGGACGTTGTTGCCAAAAGAAATCATCACAAGCATGTGATGAAAGAGCAGGTGAGCTTTTCATAACAGCGTGGAATTCTTGTGCATTCACATTAGCTAAGCACAGCATCTTTATGTTGAACACCGACTCTGATCCAAATATCAAAAGGTCAAGATGCTTCTTAAATACCTGAATCTTGATTTTGATGAAATGTGTCTTGGTATCTGAATGTCTTATTTAGACTATTTGTGAATTTCTTATGTGTATTTTTTAAATTCATACAAGAGCTGGGGTGCAGGCCAAAAGGGGGTGTGTGTGTGTGTGAGAGAGAGAGAGAGATAGGGAGGATTCACAAGAGACAGAGTGGGGCGCAGAACAGGCAGACAGAGAGGAATACACTGCTGAGGGGAGCAGCAGGCAGGACAGGAGAGGTCAGCCCCCCCCCCCCCCCCCCCCCCCCCCCGTGGGTCGCTCCCTGCTGTGGAGGGGCAGATAGCTTCTGAGTCAGCATGGTGCTTAACCCCTTCAGCCCCTGGGCGGCCCTGTTGAGCTCTCTTCCCTCAGAGCCCTGAACCCATTTTGCGCCCCGCACTTTTCACGGGCCTCGCCCTCCCGCCCTTTCTCCTCAACCTCCACTCCTCCCACTTCCAGGCCACAACCCCACCCCAACTACGGCCTGAAGGGCCGCGCAAGGGATTGTGGGAAATGTAGTCTCGAGCCCCCATGGATCTCGCCTTGGTGTCTGGGTGGGGCTTCCGCGATCTGCACAGGCGAGGCCCCGTCCCCGCCCGTCCGGAAGTTCCCGCCTCTCCAGAGCGCTGAGGGGCCCCGAGGTGAGCGCGGGCTGTGTCCCAGGAGGCCGGACTCGGGGTAGCGGAGGTCGCGGGCAAGCGTGCCCCCGGCCCCGTGGAGTCGGGCGCTTTGGAGCCGCATCCCCGCAGAACGCGCGGGGTGCCGGGGCGGAGTCCGTTGGGGAGAAGGTCCCGGCCTTTCCGGGTTGTCCCCAGACGCTGCCTGGGTCTTCCCGGGGCGGGCCACGGGGGTCACCGTGGCTAGGGCCTGGGGGTTGAGCGGTTCCGCCTGCGCGCATGCGCACTGACTCTTTGGGTCCTCCCAAAAGTCGGGCAGTGAGGGAGAGCCAGGCTGTGTTTGGGGGGGGGGGCGGGTATTGCGCCCCGGCGAGATTCAGGGCCCGAAGGTGGGCGGGTGAAGTCGCCTAGGTTGGCAGTGGGAGGCGGCCTGTGTGGGGGCGGGGAGGTCAGAGAGAAATTGGGTTTGCAGGGCGGGGCGGGAGGAGTTCGTGGGGCGTTAGAGGCTTGTGGACTGAATTTCCGGGCGTGCTGCTCGTTCCCCCCCAGGCGGCGTCCTGCTGGCCGCTGCATTCCCGCCTCCCGCCTGCACGTGCGCACCCAGGGGACTCGGCGCTGTCGGGTGTCCACGGAGCAGAGGGCGGGAAGGGCGCGGAGCCACGGCCAGGGTGTCCTGGCAGAACAGTGCGTTCGGGGCGTCGTCTCGCTGGAAGTCGAGTCCACACACTGCAGGGACTCCTCAGCTCTGAGACGGTTGCTCCTGCGTGACCGTGGCGCAGGCAGTGGGCAGTGTCACCTTTTACTAAGTTGTGGTGAACCGTCCGCCCAGGCACTGCCGCGCGTGGACTCGGGGCCCTTCCTGCCCTGCTAGAAGTGCCACCCGCTGCCACACGCGGTGACTCTCTGGTGTCTCCAGGCAGCGTGTGGCGGGCTCTGGCCAGGAGACTCCTGGACCCCGGCAGCCGCCTCCGTCCTCTGTGCTGGACCCCAGCGCCCCCCAGCGCCGCTCCCGAGCCCTCGCGCGTCTGTGAGAGCAGCGACCATGGACGAATCTCTGGTGAGTGGCGTGTTGGCTTCAGCTCGCGGTGCATTGACTATGCGAGTTCATCACGGACATGCACATTAGAAACATAGTTTTCTGCAGGGACACATTCCTCACCAGGGAAAGGTGTGGCCTAGGTCCAGGCCCTTCCCATGTCCAGCGTGCATGGAGATGGGGCTCTGCCCTTGGTCTCCCGCAGCGCAGAGTCTGTACCCGTGTCCCCGTTGATGACGCTGAAGGTGTGGCCTGTGGCTCTTCACCCCGCTGGACAGAAACACTTCCCAGCTCTGCGCTGCTCAGGTGCAGGGTGAGGGAGGACGAGGAGGAGGGGCCTGAGGACCCGAGTGCAGATGGGGGTGAAGGAGTCACGAGTCATTTGAAAAGGACAACTGAATTTTTAAGGCTTCTGTGCAGTTGCTGAAATCCTATCCTGTGTCCCAGGCCGCTCTCGGAGACTTCCATGCAGGCGTCAGTCTTGGCACGTCTGACGTTGCGTCCAGTGGGGCGTCCTTATATCCCTGCCCCTGCTCTTCTCTCAGGGGGTCTGCAAACCCCAGGTGCCCAGCAGGCTCTTCAGAGTCCTTTTTCCTGACGGTTGTTTGCACTGCTCCTGCGCATTTCTCCTTGGTGTGGTCTGCATGCATTTCTAGTGACGCTTCCCAGCACCCTAAGTTGTTCCCCAGTCCAGTGACACTCTCCAGCCTTTGCCTTCCCCAAAGTTCCTGCCATGTTTGAGAACACCGTGTGTGACCTTGGGGAAATTCCGTTTTTTATAATTGTTTTAAAGCTTCTTATACTTTTTTCTATATTTTTTACTTATTTTCCCTCCTCAATCTGTCATTGACATGTGGAGCACTAAAGCCTTCTGCTGAAAGAGTGGCCAGTTTTTTCCTAGACTCCTAATGGGTTTTGCCCTACCCCATGTTTTCCCCTCTACCTAACCACCGTGGCCAATCCCCCGTCTGCCTCCCTCCCTACCTTCTCCATCCTTTCCCCTGTTCCCTCTGGTGGTCATCTTTACCTTCACATGACCCTGTTCAAGTTTTATTCAAGTATTTTGGCTGTAAATGTTTTTTGGGTATTTATTTTCCACAGATGACGAAGCCATCTGATATGTGTGTCTAGTTTTTGGTTTATTTCATTGAAGAATAGCACCTCCCGGGGCCTCCCTGGTGGCGCAAGGTATTGAGATGCAACCGATGGGGCTGTCTGCAGTCTCTGCAGCATAAGTTCCATCCCCCGGCCAGCCAGGGAGCTACCCACATGGCGCAGCAGACCTGAGTGGCCTGCTTCGTCCCTCAGCAGTGTATTTCGGTCAATCCGCCTGTTTTGTTCCCTGCTCTGTTTGCTGAATCTTCTCACCCCCCTCCCCACACCTCTGGCCTGTACCCCAGCTCCTGTATGCATGAATAAATAAATCTTTTTTTAAAAAAAAACAGACTATCACCTCTTTGTCCACCCATTTTCTCCTCAGCGTGACCCTTTGCTCCTTCCTCATAGCCCTGCGTGCTCCCCTGCGTGTGCTCCGCCCTTCTTGCCCCACCTCAGCCAAAGGGATGTAGGTTGGGCCATGACTGGGCAGTTGGGAACAGAGCTGCTCTGCTCCCGGGTGGGAAAAATCTTTTTGTTTTGAGTTTTCCCGTGAGGATAATGTGTGGAAGTATTGCAGATGACATGGAATTTCCGTTTTTATTTCCTTAAGAAACCTCTGCATCCACTGGGTCTTTTCCGACTGTCATGGCCACCAGCCGCGGGTGAGAGCTCCCTTTTCTCTGCGCCCTCTCCAGCGTTCTTCATTCCATGTTTTTTTTTTTTTTTCAGTCTTTCACTTTTTTAAATACTATTTTACGTATTTTCACATCATTTTCATTTTTGCAGAGAGGAATCATTTTCATCTTCGTTATAGTCCCGATAAAATTTTCACCCCCCATCCCCCGTTTTGTATAAATGCATTCGTTTTTATTTGGGCCTTCTCAAGGGGTGAGGTGGCATCTAAGTGTGTGTTCGATTTACATTTCTCTTATAATACGTTAAGGTGAACATTCTTATTGTCTGTAGAAATTCAGAATTCCCTTTCTAGAAGAGTTTATGTAGTTCCTTTGTCCATTTTTTTATTAAGATTTATTTATTTATGCATGTCAGAACTGGGGTGCAGGCGAGAGGTACAGGGGGTGAGATGATTCACCAGAGAAAGTGGGGAACAGAACAGGCAGACTGACTGAAACACACTGCAGAGGGGAGCAGCGGACAAGTCAGGAGTGGACTGCAGCGCCATGTGGGTTGCTCCGTGCCGGCCAGGGATCGAACTAGCTGCAGAGGCTACGGAAAGCTTCATAAGCTGCGTCCCAACCCCTTGTGTCACCAGGGAGGCCCCCCTTTGTCCAGTTTCAATTGAGTCATCAGGTGGTTTCTTGCATTGTTTGGGGATGTTACAAATTTTGGAATGAACCCTTTGTCACGTGTGTGGCATGCAGATTCTTTTTTTCTGTTCTGTAGACTGCATTTCAATTTTTGGGTTGGTTTCTTTTGAGGTATGAAAGCTTTTAGGTTTGGTGGTGTCCCGCTTGTTCATTTTTGCATTTTTTTCCCTTGGTGTTGGGGTTGTGTTCCCTAGTGCACTTTGTGGCAACTGTCCTTAGTGTGTTCCTATATTTTCTGTCAACTACTTCACCCAATATTTAATCGATTTAGAATTTTACAGATTGATTTATTTATCCATATAAGAGCTGGGGTACAGGCCAGACATGTGGTGGGTGAGAGGATTGACCAGAGACAGAGTGGGGAGCAGAACAGGCAGATCTGGTGAAATACACTACTAAGGGGAGCAGCAGGGAGACAGGAGAGGTCAGGTGTGCCGTGTGGGTGAGTCCCCTGACTAGGGATGGAACTCATGCTGCAGGAGCTGCGGATAGCTTCATAGTGCTTTGTCTTGACCCCTTGATTCACCCAGGAGGCCCCATGTTGCTGTATTAAGTCGGGTGGAATTTGTTGAGGATTTTCCCTTCTCTGTTCTTTGGTGCTGTTTGTCTATTTTTCCCTTTTATGCTGTCTTTTTTTTTGGGGGGGGGAATCAGGGCAATGTTGACTTCGTGTATGTGTTGGTGAGTTTTCCTCCGTCTTCAGTGTTTTGGAAGATGAAATTTCTTTGTGTTTGCTTCTGTCATGGTCTCTCTGATGATTTCTTTTCCGTGTCCCTGAGTGCTTGAGTATCTTGTGCTCCTGAATGTAGCTAATCCTTGTGTTCCGATCTGGTCTCCCGTCTTCAGTGTGCACTTCTCCTGAGTGAGTCAGTCAGCTGTGTTTTGCCATTTCTGCCAGTTACACTTGAGCGTGGGCCTCTGCCCAGTCCTACTGCCACAAGCTCGGCCACCACCTGACTGTGCCTGTAGCCGTCCCGATGGCACCTGCCACTCATGCAACGTGCAAACCTCGTCCTGTGTTGTGCCCTCCCGTGTGGAATTAGATCCTTCCTAGCCCAGGTCTCCCGCAGCAGAAAGGGATTTCTCTATTCCAGAGTTTCGTCTCACCCAATGCAAGTTTCTCTTCAGTATTACCTGATACCTTAATGGTTGCTAACAACAGCACCACTGTGTGTGTGTGTTTGTGTGTGTGTGTGTTTGTGTGTGTGTGTGTGTTTCAGTTCACATTACAGTTCTCATTTTTGGCCAAACCTGATGGATGCAATTTCTCAGTGATGAGGTTGCTCCCTTTTCTGCCTCCCACTGGCCAATGTGTGCTGACACCTCAGAGTTCAGGGGGAGAAAGTACTCTGGGGGGTCAGTAAATGTAGTTTTTAATAAGGAGCTTCACATATCTGTCATTGAGTCTGGAATACAGTAGGTGTGTGCATTAGTCATACATATGATTCTTGCTGAAGTTATCGTTAATGGTAGATTTTCTTTTTAATTTTGATAGAATATTTATAGAATATTGTTAGAAAGAATATATTTTACAACCTAATTTTCGCAGCTCTCGTCACTTGTGACCATGCAAGTGTTTCATTTTATAAACCTTCGGACTGTGGGGAGCAGCAGTGGCTGCTCTTCTGCCCATCGTGATTGTTGCTTCCTTTCTCTCCTTTTCCTACTAAACCTGGCCCTCTATTTATTCATTCATTCGTTTATTCATTCATTCATTTTTTAAAAGATATACTTATTGCTGCATACAAAAACTGGGGTATGGGCCAGAGGTGTGCGGGGGGGCGGGCTGGATTCACCACCAGAGACAGATTGGGGAACAGAACCGGCAGACTAACTGAAATACATTGACGAGAGTTGCAGTGGGCGAGTCAGGGGAGGTCTGCCGCACATGTGGGTAGCACTCTGGCCGGGGATTGAACTCATGCTGCAGTGGCTGTGGACAGCTCCATTGTGTTGTGTCTTAACCTTTAGTCACCAGGAAAGCCCCTGACCCTTCATTTAAATGTCAAATAAAAAGTCTCCTTTTGCTGTTTTTGCATGTGGTGTTCTTTGGCATTTTGTATCTGACAGTGTTATACAGCCATCAATACCTTCCAGATTTTTTCATTTCCCAGTAATAAAATACTGCACTCATGAAACTCTCGCTCCCAACTGCCCTGTCCCTCAGCCCCTGTGTCCACCATTTACTTTCTGTTCTTAAGAGTTTGACAACTCAGACCTGTATGAATGGAGTCTTGTTACACCTTATTTTCTTGGTGAATCTCTTATTTTATTGCATTGTTAACTGTTTTGTCATTTCATAGGTCTCGTACAGGAGTGCCTTCATATTGTAGTGTGTGTCGTTGTTTAGTTCCATTGCGAGACCCATTAATAATCTCTTATGTGTATCTGCCAGTCTTATTTACCCATTAATCCATCACCTGGGGCTTGGGTTGATTTTGCTTTGGGCTGTATGACTGGTGGTGCCGTGACCGTAGGTGAGCAGACGTCTCTGCCCGTCCCTGCTGTCCCTGCTATTGATGAACACCCCGGGGTGGGGGTGGGTCCTCCTGTCATTCTGAGTTCCCTTTTCCCAAGAATCACCTTCCTGTTTTCCCTCCTGTCTGCATCATTTATGTTTCCCCAGCAGTGCGCAAGGGAGCCAGGTCCCAATTTTTGCCAGTACTTGTTATTTTCTTTCTTTTTATGTCATTGCGATCCCAGCGGATGTAAAATCTCATCTCTTGTACTTCTCGTTCATTTTTCCTTCGTGACTGGTCGTATTGAGCACGTTCATGTGTTAGGACCCGCTTGGGTGTGTGATTTGCAGAGCTGTGTGTTCCAGTCCGTTCCTCATGGCTGCGCATTTCCATTTTGAATAGGGTCGAAAGCGCGAGGGGATTGTATTGTCCCATTTCATCTTACGGTGCTTTTATGGCATCCTGAGCCCACTCCTGCTGGGAGGTCCCGTGAGTTTCTGTGCACAGACATGAGCCATCCACCTTCTCTCTGCTGTTGTTTCATTTCTCGTATTAGCGTTTTCATCAATGAGCCTATAAAGAAGAATGCATTTTTGTTTTCCTAGAAATGGGATGTGCCGGGTTACCTTGCGAGAGTTGCTGTCAGTGCAGCAGGCTCATCGTGTCCTGGATGCTGTTGTGTCTTTGCATTTGTTTACTTCATTGTTTAACCCTCCGGATTTATTTATCCCAGGGAGTCTCTGCCCTTGGTTCTGCTACATGCATTGCTTACTGTTGTCATTTCCCTGGCAGCGTACAGGAGCTCCTGTGTGTGTGAACACGGGTGTGTGTTATACTCACAGTCTGCTCACTGGGTTTTCCTTTCCAGAGTTGCTTTACTGTGGCTTTCATTAGTTTTCCAAGAATGAATTATAGGGCCTCCCCTGGTGGTGCAGTGGTTGAGCGCTGGTTTGCAAGACTGCACAGAGCCTCTTCGGCGCCAGTTCGATGCCCGGATACCGGCGAGGGTCCCACCAAAAAAAAAAAAAAAAGAATTAATTATTACTTGCTATGACCATTTTTACGCATGTTGTCTTTCTGTTGTTGCTGTTGTTGTGTAGCATCACCCGAACCCATTGTGAATAAGGGGACACTGAGCATCTTTGTTAGTCCTTCTCTCACTGGGAATGTTGATGTCTCCTTGGGCTGTGTCAAGGACTTGTTTTGTGTTGAGGAAAAATCCTCTGAATCCTTTTTTAGTTATTACAAATAGAAATTTATTTTTATGGGGTCCTAATGAATATGTGTGTGGAGGTACGCAAGATTTTCTACACAGGAAATGAAATGATGGAATCAATTTACACATTTCCTAAGAGGTTTGTTTTCTTATACCTAGTGTCATGTTTTCCAAAAGTCTTTCATTGCTATGATCTATTCTTTTTCTTTGTCCAACAGAAATATTAGTCTCTTCTAGTTGTTTTTCCTCTTCTTTCAATACCTTTTGTTCTGGTCACCGTGTTCCCCCCTACGGTGATGAAAACTATTAATAATATCCTGAGAATTCCCAAATTCTTTTATTTTTTCTTTTAGATTTATTTATTTTATTTTTGCACATAGTGCTCAGGTGTAGGCCACATGTGCAGGGGGTGAGAGGATTCATCAGAGTCAGAGTCAGGAGTAGAACAGGCAGACTGACAGAAATACACTGCTGAGGGGAGCAGCAGAGAGACAGGAGAGATCTGCTGCGCCTTCTGGGTAAATCCCTTGTTGGGACTCGAATTCTTGTTGCAATGGCTGCCGACAGCTTCATAGTGCTGAGACTTAAACCCTTGTGCCACCAGGGAGGCCCTGATTCCCACATTTCTGTTCTCAGCTTAGAGTTCCTGATCCATCACACACACGTCTAGTTGCGTGTGGAATTCCAGTGTTTTCCACCCCGTCATGTGGACAGCATATTAGGAAAACATTCCTCGTACCTCAGCCACCAAGTTATTACCGAGTTCTCCTCCCCTTTGTCCTTCCGTTTGAGAAGTGATGACCTGTTGTGTCTTCTCTGACTCTGTCAGCTGAACATCTTTTCTTAAAATTTTATTTTATATATAATTTGGATCATTTTTTATTTTGCACACTGTATGCATTTTCATCTTGGTTATAGTCACCGACAATTCCTACCCCCCTTATTTTAACCCTAATCCCTCCTCCCTCCACCCTCCAAAACCCCCTGTTTGAGAAACCCCATCTCTAGTTTATAGTTGCTTGTAGTTGAACATCTCTTACCTGTGCTTTTTTCCCCCTTCATTGTTTGAACATTCTGGTTTCGGGTTCAGTTTTTGTTTACTGTGAGTTGGAGATCCCAGGGTTTGAGGTCACAGGAGTAAAATATTGGCACAAACTTGTACATGCTTTTCATTTGTTATGAAGCTCCTTTTGCACATGCTTCCAGGTATGTGTCTGTTACACCTGCCTACCAGGTTATCAGCTCCTCAAGGAGCAAATTTTATTCATCCTTTTATTCTTAGAATCATACACACTTTCAAATTTATAAGGTAAGCTATAGTTCTGCTTTAAGGACTGAATGGGTGAATGTAGAGGCGAGGCTCTTTCAACTGCGAATTCTATACATTCTCTACAGTACCAAAGACCCACAAAATAAGATGTTTGCACTTGCTCTGTCTGATCCAGGCTGCCGGCCCGGAGCTGAGAAATGTTCCCTCAGAAGGGACTGTGTCATTTGAAGACGTGGTTGTGAACTTCACCTGGGAGGAGTGGCAGTGCCTGAGTGAAGCTCAGAGGACCCTGTACTGGGATGTGATGCTGGAGACCCGCAGTCACCTGGTGTCCCTAGGTGAGGAAGCGCCAGTGTAACTCTCTAGTGCACTGCTGTCTTCTGCACCGATAAGTGTGCACTTGCTTATGAAACTGAGTGCTGGTGAGGTTGAACATGCAGGCAGTGTACATTGTGGGTGTTTCGGTTTTTGTTTTTTGTTTTTTTTTAGGAAAGATTCAGATTGGCCTCTATTGCACAGCTCTTCACACTGCATTTGTTAGTTTTCAAAGACTGAAGTTGAACTTGATCGAAGGCGAACACTATTTCTCGTCACAGGGCATTGCGTTAACGATCCTGAGGAGAGGATGAGGTCGGAGCAGGGAGTACAGCCGTGGACTGTGGACTATCCCCCAAACCAGGACCTCTCAGGTCAGTCAGTGCTTGCCAGACCGGGAGGCTGGGAGGAGGCTGGGAGTGTGGCCAGTGATATTGGCCACACTGAGGTGCTTTCCCATTGTGCAACCTTGGACAGTGTGTCTGCATATATCAAACTGATTCTTTTTTATTTTTTTTTAATTAATTTATTTATACAAGCATGGGGTACAGTCAGTCAGAAGCGCGGGAGGGCAAGAGAACTCACCAGAGCCACAGTGGGGAGCAGAGCAGGCAGAAGGACCGAAGTGCACTGCTGAGGGGAGTATGGGTTGGCAGGAGAGGTCTGCATGTCATGCGGGACCCTGCACCGGTGGCTAGGGAGCAGCCAGGGATTGAACCGGCGCTGCAGAGGCTGCGGGCAGATCGCAACCCAGCGCACAACCGCTGCGCCACCGGGGAGGCCCTCAAACTGATTCTTTATTCAGTTCCCAAATATTGCTCTCTCGTGTATTTCCTCCTGCTCTTTTAATGGTGGTTGTCTATGTTCTTAACCAGTCTGTAGTCCCTGATACTGTGGGGATTATTCTGTATTAATCACGTTTTTGTATTCTCTCAGTGTATTCTCACAGACTGTTTTCTTTAGGTACCTGTTCAGGAATTTTTTTATCTCTGTGTGTTCGTGGGAAGTTTACCCAGTGGGAAATTTTCTATGAGAGGGGAGAGCAGCAGTACTCATAGAAATGATCTTTGCTTTCTGAACTTATACACTCTGTGAGGAAAGAATATATTAAATACATTTATTGATAGAGAGGTAAAGCCACAGAGGATGTTTGACCAGCATGAGTGAAACAAAGTGGAGGATGTTGTTTTTGCGTGTGTACTCCATACGCATCATTACAGAGATTAATTCTTCTCTTTCAGAGCTCAGGTGAGGTGAATGGCTTGCACTGACATGTCATATCTATAGTTCCCTCTGCAGTCTGGGCTAGAGGCTGTGTATTGCTATTGGAGATGTCACTTTGCAGGTGACTAACTCAAAAGGGATAGAGGGGCGTTGACTGGAGAGTTATTTAGAACATGAGTAGTGTTTCAGGGGCAAGCCTTGTGACCGCCCACATAGTAAATGGTGAGGCTGAGGAGGACCCAGAAATTGTTCATCATTGGAAGGAATGTTGTGTGACATGGGAAGGGGAACCTGAGGTGGTGGTTTCTAAAGCCATGGCACCAAGAGTTTGAGGTTGGGGGCTCATACCTTGGGGAGCAGTGTGACCTGTGCAATTCCACCTTGTCGTGGGCATTGTTGGGAGGAAAGTAAAGGAATCAACGACAGTGTGATGTAGCTGAGAGTCACTCACGACATAGAAACTGGAGTTACTGTGAACAAAGTAGAAACGCAGTTTCCAAGCAGTGTGGTGAGAATACCAGGGTGTTGCTCTCAAAAGCATGTGGGAAAAGCCTTTAACTCTGATAGCCACAGGCTGGATGCAGAACTTTTTTCCTATCGCTCAGCAGGGAATGTGGGACACAATGATGAGGTGGAGTTTGCTGCATGTGTTAGGATTCTGAGCCTTATGTGATATGATATTTCAATAAAAACTGACAGGTCTCTTCCGTGGAGGGAAGCACATGCTTCTGAGAACCTCTGCAGGTGTCGTGGCCAGGGCCGGGGTGGAAAGAAAAACTAAGAAATGGAGAAGCAGGGTCCTTGTGACTCAGCAGAACTCTTGCTTAAAGTGCCTGGGCAATGACTGGGTCTCTCCGTCCACAGGTTTCTGGGAAAGCCATGGCCTCTGCAGGGCTTGGTTATTCTGAAAGTACCCACAAGAGCTGCACAGGGTCAGTCTAACAAAGAAAGTATGTAGGATCTATGTTGGGTGAAATGCTTCTGGTTGAAATCGACAATTCTAGTTAAAGGACTGTTTTTACCAATTATTTATGATTTTATAAAACCATGATGAAATTTTTTTACTGCTTTGTTATCCTGGTTTGGCATTAGAAAATCTGTTAATTGGGGCCTCACAGGAGGACTAGGGATTAAGTCTCTTAGCTCTCACTATTATGGTCTGAGTTTGATCTACAGTGAAGGAGCTCACCCACTTTGGCACAGCAGACCTCTCCTGTCTCACCCGCTGCTCCCCTCAGCAGTGTATTTCAGTCAGTCCACCTGTTCTGTTCCACACACTGTCTCCACGGTCCCCTACAACACCCCCACTCCTGCACCTCTGGCCTACACCCCAGATCTTCTATGCTAAAATACAAAATACCAAGAAATCTAATCTCCACATAATTTGCTACGGGCAAAAATCATGAATCAGAATCAATACCTGTAAATTGTGTTGTAATATAGGAGCTTTTGTGCCGCTTAGTAGTATTCAATCAAAATGCTTCCTTTTTAGAGACATGGTCACTTTTTTCTCACTTTAGATGTCCATACTGTGGATCACCTGACTCACGACAGCCCTGCAAATCAGAGCAGACATGTGTGGCAAGTTCTTAGCGCCAGCAGCAAAATACCATCCAACGAGAGAACTGACTTATGGGAAAAAAGCAATTTGGACTCAATTCGTTTTGTGAACCATAGTATCAGAAATGGAAGCAATTCAGCAATGATGCCTGAGAACTTTACTATACATAGGACCATGATGATCCCTGGTGAGCCTCATGAAGAGCATGCTGGAGAGAACGAGGAGGTCTTTAGTAGAATGAGGGAACCCATCAAGTATCCTGAGCACCTTAATCACCAGGTGATTCAGAACTTTCAACAGCCTTTTGAATTTCGTGAACAAGGAAAAGTCTTGAGCGAAGAAACAATATTTTCACCTAGAGGAGCCTTTCCGGAAGGGGCTGCCCGTAAATGCAATGAGTGCAGGGACACCAGTGATGAGGCACCTTTTGATGTCCGAGACAGAACCCAAGGAGGACAGACTCCCTGCAGTTGTAATGAAAAGGGGAGAGCTGCGGAGATGACTCCAGTGCATTTGAATCTTCCTAGGTATGGTGAACACGAGCAGCAGGAATGTTATGAAAGTGGGGCCAGTCTCAGCAACACATTTCACACCTATCCGCATGAGAGTACCCAGTTAGGACAGAATAATTTTGGATATAAGAGATATGGTGAAGCGGCCTCTAAAACCTCTGTTCTGACTGAACATCAGAAATCACAAGCAGACGATCAACCTGATGAGTGTGGGGGCACCTCTGAGATTTCCTTACAGAGGGGATACCAGAGAAATCTCACTGCAGTGAAGTTGTTTGGGTCTAACGATTACATGAAAACTTTCTCATGGAAGACTGCCCGCACTGTACATCCACAATCTCAAACGGGAGTGAAGCGCTACCCGTGTCTGGTATGTAAGAAAACTTTCAGGCACAAATCTGCTTTTAGTGTCCATCAGAAAACTCATACAAGGGAGAAACCCTATGAATGTCAGGTGTGCAGGAAAGTGTTCTCCTGTAAGTCAGTTCTTGTTCTACATGAGAGGACTCACACTGGAGAGAAATGCTATGAATGTGAAGAGTGTGGGAAAGCTTTTACCAGTCAGTCTTATCTCAGTAAGCATCAGAGAATTCACACTGGAGAGAAGCCTTATGAATGTCAAGAGTGTAGTAAGACTTTCCACTGGAGATCATCCCTCAGTTACCACCAGCAAAGTCACAATGGAGAGAAACCCTATGAATGTAAAGGCTGTGGGAAAGCTTTTTCCAGTAAGTCTTACCTCAGTAACCATCAGAGAATTCACACTGGAGAGAAGCCTTATGAATGTCAAGAGTGTAGGAAGACTTTCCACTGGAAAACATCCCTCAGTCATCATCAGAGAAGTCACACTGGAGAGAAGCCTTATGAATGTCAAGGGTGCAGGAAGACTTTCCACCGGAAATCATCCCTCATTGAATATCAGAGTGGTCACACTAGTTTGAAACACTATGGTTGTGAAGGATGTGGGAAAGCTTTTTCTATTAAGGCACATCTTATTAGACATCAGAGGATTCACACTGGAGAGAAACCCTATGATTGTGAAGGGTGTGGGAAAGCTTTTTCCAGTAAGTATTACCTCAGTGAGCATCAGAGAATTCACAGTGGAGAGAAGCCTTATGAATGTCAAGAGTGTGGGAAGACTTTCTCCTGGAAATCATCCCTCAGTGACCATCAGAGAATTCACAGTGGAGAGAAGCCTTATGAATGTCAAGAGTGTAGGAAGACTTTCCAGTGGAAATCATCCCTCAGTAACCATCAGAGAAGTCACACTGGAGAGAAACCCTGTTATTGTGAAAAGTGTGGGAAAACTTTTTCTAGTAAGTCACACCTCATTACTCATCAGAGAATTCACACTGGAGAGAAACCATATGAATGTGAAGGGTGTGGGAAAGCTTTTTCCAGTAAGTCATCCCTCAGTCACCATCAGAGAATTCACACTGGAGAGAAACTGTATCAATGTGAAGTGTGTGGGAAAGCTTTTTCCAGTAAGTCTTACCTCAGTGAGCATCAGAGAATTCACACTGGAGAGAAGCCTTTTGAATGTCAAGAGTGTAGGAAGACTTTCCACTGGAAAATATCCCTCAGTGTCCATCAGAGAAGTCACACTGGAGAGAAGCCTTATGAATGTCAAGAGTGTAGGATGACTTTCCAGTGGAAATCATCCCTCAGTAACCATCAAAGAATTCACACTGGAGAGAAGCCTTATGAGTGTCAAGTGTGCAGGAACACTTTCCACCTGAAATCATTACTCACTGAACATCAGAGACTTCACACTGGTGAGAAACGCTATGATTGCAAAGAGTGTGGGAAAGCTTTTTCTACTAAGGCACACCTCATTAGACATCAGAGAAGTCACACTGGAGAGAAACCCTACGAATGTGAAGGGTGTGGGAAAGGTTTTTCCAGTAAGACTTACCTCAGTGACCATCAGAGAATTCACACTGGAGAGAAGCCTTATGAATGTCAAGAGTGTGGGAAGACTTTCCATTGGAAATCATCCCTCAGTGACCATCAGAGAAGTCACAGTGGAGAGAAGCCTTATGAATGTCAGGTGTGCAGGAAGACTTTCCACCGGAAA